TATGACCACCTAAAACTTACGGTATTACCGAAAGCTCGGTATGAGTGGATACATTTAAGGCTGCAAAACTTTAAAATCGTAAGTGAGTATAATTCTGTTATCTTTAAAGTAAGTTCACTATTAAAATTATGTGGAGACACTATCACAGATGAGGACTTATTAGAAAAAATATTTTCTACTTTTCACGCTTCAAATGTGGTGCTACAACAACAATACCGTGAAAAAGGTTTTAAGAAATATTCTGAGTTAATCACATGCCTACTTGTGGCAGAACAGAATAATACTCTATTAATAAAAAATCATGAAGCCCGTTCCACTGGGTCAGCTCCATTTCCGGAAGTGAATGCTATAGCAGCATATGATAAGTTTGAAAGAAAATAAAATAATTACCGTGGTCGTGGACATGGTCGTAAACGTAGACGTGGCAGGGGACGAAACAATTATCGTCATTATGGTGAAAATAAATTGGAGAACAATAAGAGTTCTCAAATTAATCATTCAAAAGGTAAAACTAGTATGTATCACAGATATGGTATGAATGGTCATTGGGCATGCATTTGTCGTACGCCAGATCATTTTGTCAAACTTTATCAAGCCTCCCTAATAAAAAATAATAATAATGTGGAGGCACACTTGACCTTTCAAAATAATGATGATGAAGTAGGTCCCTCAAACAAATATGATTCTAGGGAACATCTTGCATATAAAGATGATGATTTGGAGGCCTAACAAATATTATTCATTTAGAAGCTGGAGACTTCTTTGAGGATATTGACTGAAGAACTAATCATCTTACTGGGGAATGAAGCTATAAAAGTTGTTATTTTTATGTTTGCAACTAGTTTATTTTTTTTAGTGTATTTTCCTAATGCATCATGTGTTGCTAGTTTCTACATTCCTAATGTATATCTTAATGTTTTTTTTTTCTATTTGTCTTTCATATTTCTTATGATATATTTTTTATGAAGAATATGAAAATTCTCAGTCTTCAGTTGGACTCAAGATTAATAAAGATGATATATGTCTTCTGGATAGTGCTATAACACACACTATTTTAAAAGATAAGAGATATTTCTCTTATTTGGTAATGAAAGAAGCGAATGTTAATACAATATCCGGTAGTACAAGATTAATTGAAGATTCTGGAAGAGCCAATTTATTACTACCAGGAGGAACAAATTTGGCTATTGATGAAGCACTATATTGTAGTAAATCTCAAAGAAACTTATTAAGTTTCAAAGATCTTCGACAAAATGGCTATCATATTGAGACTACAAATGATGAAAAGATTGAATATATTTATATTACTACAATAATGTCCGGTAAGAAATATGTTCTTGAAATGTTACCTGCTTTTTCCTTCGGGTTATACTACACAAGTATTAGCAGGATTGAAACACATGTCGTAGTAAACGAGAAGTTTACTAATCAAGATAATTTTATTATTTGGCATGACCGGTTGGGCCTTCCTGGTTCTAATATGATGCGTAAAATAATTGAGAATTCGCATGGACATGCAATGAAGAATCAGAAGATTCTTCAATTTAAGGAATTCTCTTGTGCTGCATGTTCTCAAGGAAAATTAATTATTAGACCATCAACTGTTAAAGTTAGAATGGAATCCCCTACATTTCTAGAATGTATACAGGGTGATATATGTGGGCCCATTCACCCTCCATGTGGACCATTCAAATATTATATGATTTTGGTAGATGCATCTACAAGATGGTCACATGTGTGCTTACTATCAACTCGCAATATG